TTATTTGGTAAACAGATGTGCACCCCTCCCTGCCTTTTCTTTCCCAGAGCTCTTCACAGCCATGCAGGTTCCTCTTTCAGGACTAATGTCAGGCTCTGGCTCTGCCTTACTGCTGTCCTCTGGGGGTCTCTAAGCTGTTGGGTTGGGTAGCATGGTCAGGAACTCCAGGCTCCACAGTCTACCCCAGCTCATGGAATCAGAACATTGTTTAGTCCGCCCCTATGTCGGCACTACCTCTCTGGTAACATGGTGCATGTCCCCTCATAGGGAGGAGTATGGGAAACTGTTTGATTTTGTCAACGCGAAAAAACTCAACATCAAAAACCGAGGATTGAAAGAGGTACTTCTGTGTGGGGAGCATGAGACCCTCTCCTGGTCTTTCTGTAGGGGAGAATGGGGTGGAGATTTTTTCCGGCTTCTTTTTCACTCTTTCTTCTCTTCTTACCCTTATAGAAAAAAGAGGTGCGTGTGACCCTTTCCCCCTCCTGGTGCAGGTTTCCTCTGCATGACCTTAGACCAGTCTATGCAGCCCCTCAGGAGCCCCCAGTGGGGCTGGGAGAGGGAGGGGCTTGGGGCTTGGACTAACCCAGTTGGCAGGAAGTACTTGGGCGTAGGCCCTGCACGTTGGCTGCGTGTGGACAATCCAGCCCCAGGTCTTCTGGGCGCTGCTGCTCTGACTTGACAGGCATGGGGATGTGCTTTTGAGTACGCAGGGATTCTGGCTCGAGGGTGAGTTGGCCCCACTGTGAACTCTTCCCTGGCTAGGGCATGAACCCAAGCTACGACGAATATGCCGACTCTGATGAGGACCAGCATGATGCCTACTTGGAGAGGATGAAGGAGGAAGGCAAGATCCGGGAGGAGAATGCCAATGACAGCAGCGATGACTCGGGAGAAGAAACCGGTGGGTTAGCCTCCGTGCTGAGCACGAGGATGGTCAGATGTTCCTTGCTGTGGCCCGGGCTGGACTCACCCTTGGGCCAGAGCTGGGTGCCTGGGTGAGGGGGTGGGGATTTCCACTGGGGCAGAAGCTGATGCACCCTATGCCCTTTTTCAGATGAGTCATTCAACCCAGGTGAAGAGGAGGAAGATGTGGCAGAGGAGTGAGTTTTGGTGGTACCTTGTGGGGATAAGATGGTGACCCATAAGCTTAAAGGACCAGAAGATTTCTGGACATTTCTCATGTCCCAGCATTAGCTACTGACCCGGAATGGGAGAGTGACCTCCAATGAGGTGATACACAAAATGTTTTGGAAATTGTCAAGGGCTTCGTAAGTGCAAGGCACATTTTGAAGTCAGAAAAGTATAGTGGGGTCTATGGCCATACCACCCTGAATATGCCAGTCGGGGCTGGTTTGTAGTTGGATGAGGAGAGAATGGGAATGAGAGCTGGTGCTTGTCACTTATTTCCTGGAGGTTGTCGAGTCAGTCATTGAATCTCAATTTCCTCATCGGTAGAAATGCAGTAGTACCGACTTTTTATTAGCAGTGTCAGAAATGTGACTCACTCTCACTTTAAAAGGAAATATATAAAAGGGAATTTCATAAGTTCATGTTACTGCAGAGTCTGGGGATTTAATTGACTTCAGACACTACTGGATTCAGGCACTCAAATCTATTTCTTCTGATTTCCGTAATTCAAAATAGGTTTGCCCCATGGAGTGCCCAGTGACTCTCAGAAGCTCAGGGCAGGCTTAATCCTACTGGTTTAAAACAACACCAGAAGCGCCTCTTTTGGTGAACAGCATAGTGAACACAGTGGTTACCTGCCCCTTCCTAGCCTGAGTTGTTAGGATGGGCCAGGGTCTGATGGGCCAGAAATAGGCCAAGTGCCCACCCTTAGAGCCTGTGGTTGGGGTGAGCCCTTCCTGAGTAGGGGCAAGGTGGTTCCCAACAGAAAATTGGGACTCTGCTCTCTTAATCCAGAAGGATTGTAAAAGAATGTCAGGCAGCAAAAAAACAACCAACAGGAGTCCCCTAGTTCAGCCTGCCACACGTTTATGAAGGTGTATGAAAGCTTCATGAGCAAATACTTGTGAAAGTGCCTTGAAAACTGTCCAGCAGCATACAGGTCTAAGGTAGTTCCATTTTTTGAGGAGTTTCACATATATCAGATAAGACTGTCAATTACAGGGGTGGATACTGGGTTGGACTTAAGTTGGTTTTCTTCTTTTTGTAGTAACTGATTATCTTTTCATCAGAAAAGACTGTAGGGGCCGATCCTTTTGTAGTTCATAAACATGATGGTTGGGTGTTACATGCGTGTGTGCAACGTGCCGCCCTCCAGCCTTGTTATGATGTTGACACATTACCCATCTGACACAAAAAAAAAAAAGACAAAAAAGACTATAGGGTAGATTAAGGTGATTGCTCCGAAGGAAGTGGTGAAGTGGATTTGGGCCATGTTCCAGGCATGAATGAGGCAGTGTTTCTGCCCGTGGTGTCCTGGGAATGGACTAGGACCTGGTTTGGCCATGCCCAGGGAGATCAGCTGAAGCTCATTGATTGATTTTCATTCATTCATTCTGATCAAGTAACCCATTGCTGTGGCTGGGTCTGGAGAGGGCATGGCTGAAGCCACCTCAGTGAATGGGAGGAAGCAGTGTTGGGGATTGGTGGTGGATCCTGTCCTCTGGTCTTCCTCCCTTGACCCTTTTGGGTGGGTATCTTTGGATTTGTTTTCCTCCTGCCTTGAGGCCATGGGGTCCTGTCTTCCCTCCTCAAGTCTAAGCCTGGCTTGCTCTCTGGCAGGTTTGACAGCAATGCCTCTGCCAGCTCCTCCAGTAATGAGGGTGACAGTGACCGGGATGAGAAGAAGCGGAAACAGCTCAAAAAAGCCAAGATGGCCAAGGACCGCAAGAGCCGCAAGAAGCCTGTGGAGGTGCAGACTGTAGATGGGAGGGGCTGTGTGTGGTGCAGTGGGTGGGGGTGGGGGAGGGTGGGAGGCATTCTCTTTACCTTCTCCTGTCCACCACCAGTAGGACCTGTTCATTGGTCTTCCTTGGGGCTGTTTTTTATAGCCAATGATTATAGCCTTGAGGGGTATCTTCTTGGAAATTGTTCTCACTAGCCCTGAGATTAATAAGCTTCTGGAAGGTCTGAATTAGGAGATGGGCTTCTGTCCTGGTAAGCTAGGCACTGAATTGCAGAGGGGAAGGAGATACTATCCTTGCCCTTAGGGAGCGTGCGTCTCGCCTGATGCTATTTAGTCCTCTACTTTTTCTCCAAGTTAAGTGATCTAAATAATTTATTTGGGAAAATGTATGGGTTCTATGGGAAATAGCTGAAGGCGTTTGGGTTCTTATGCAGGTGAAGAAGGGCAAAGACCCCAATGCCCCCAAGAGGCCCATGTCTGCGTACATGCTGTGGCTCAATGCCAGCCGAGAGAAGATCAAGTCAGACCATCCTGGCATCAGCATCACAGATCTTTCCAAGAAGGCAGGCGAGATCTGGAAGGGAATGTCCAAAGAGAAGAAAGAGGTGAGTAGCAGCAGAGGAGGGGTGATGCCTCTCATGGGCTGGTGAGAGGTGCTCTCTTGGCATGGTGAGTCTGATGACCGATAGGGGAGCAGTATGAGCCATTGGTGGGACTTTCTGTATCGATTTTGCCTGCATCAGGGGAGAGGGGAGACGGGAGAGGTCTTATTCTTCACTGTTTTTTTCTGTGTGTGTGAGACAGGAGTGGGATCGCAAGGCTGAGGATGCCAGGAGGGAATATGAAAAAGCCATGAAAGAATATGAAGGGGGCCGAGGCGAGTCTTCTAAGAGGTGAGTGTCGAAAACGTGGCCCAGTCACTGATTTTTGTGGCAGGTTTTTTTTTTGTTTGTTTTTTGTTTTTTATACAGGCCGAAGTTGAGCATTGGAAAGTTAAAGACAGCAGATATGCTTCTGACTGCAGTAGGGTAGTGCTTCTCAAACCTGGGTAGGCCGTTGCCCAAGTATGGGTGATACGATAGGGCATTCAAGTCACTGGGGAAATATGGCCCATTTTCGTGGACTATTGTATTTGAAGGTATGGGGGAACGGAAAAACTATTATGGAGTGCAGTGCACAATTCACATGAACTCTAAAAGATACAGCAAGAAATGTCAAGTAGGTTTTGCATATGGGGCTGCTTTAGCCTGTGCCCTCTGATTCTTCTGGTGTACTCATGATACTCTCCCTTGGTGCCCTTCAGGCTGACATGGCTGTTTACGTTCAGAGTGAAATGGGCTGTGTGGCTGGGATTGAGAAAGGCCTTGTTAAAGCTGGGAGAGGTTTGGTCATGGTGATAGGGGACCTGAAGGCCTAGCTCCTCTTCCCTCTTGCCAATACAGGGACAAGTCAAAGAAGAAGAAGAAAGTAAAGGTAAAGATGGAAAAGAAATCCACACCCTCTAGGGGCTCATCATCCAAGTCATCCTCAAGGCAGCTAAGCGAGAGCTTCAAGAGCAAAGAGTTTGTGTCTAGTGATGAGAGCTCTTCGGGAGAGAACAAGAGCAAAAAGAAGAGGAGGAGGAGCGAGGTGCGGCAGGAATGTGGGGGCTGTGGGCTGGGCAGCGTGAGGGGCATGTGTGTCTGTGTGGGGTTGGTCTGTAAGAGTAATGAGTTGGAGTGGATGGTGGAATTCTGAGGTTCTGAAGGTGGGTGCTGTAGTTGGGAGGCGGTAGGAAATTGCGGGCCCTTCACTGAAGACTGGGTGGGGCACCCAGGACTCCACCTTTTCCCTGAAGACACTTTTGGTTTTCAGGACTCTGAAGAAGAAGAACTAGCCAGTACTCCCCCCAGCTCAGAAGACTCAGCGTCAGGATCCGATGAGTAGAAATGGAGGAAGGTTCTCTTTGCACTTGCCTTCTCACACCCCCAGACTCCCCACATTTTGGTACCAGTTTCTCCTCATGAAATGTAGTCCCTGGATTCTGTGCCATCTGAACATGCTCTCCTGCTGGTGTGTATGTCACTAGGGCCGTGGGGAGACTTCTTAACTCTGCTGCTTCCCAAGGATGGCTGTTTATAATTTGGGGAGAGAGAGGGTGGGAGGCAGGGCAATGCAGGATCAAAATCCTCATCTTACTTTCCCGACCTTAATTAAGGATGTAGCTGCTGCTGGTCCTGTTCAAGTTGCTGGAGCAGGGGTCATGTGAGGCCAGGCCTGTAGCTCCTACCTGGGGCCTATTTCTACTTTTATTTTGTATTTCTGGTCTGTGAAAATGATTTAATAAAGGGAACTGACTTTGGAAACCATGTCTTTATGCTTTCTTTGTAGCCCTGGTTTGTTGCTCCTATTTTTATTGGTGGTGGTTACTGCCCTGGTCAGACTAGGCAGAGCCTGGCCAGCCGGGAAGCAAGTCTTGAGGCACATCCTGTTCTGTTCCCGGCTGGAGAAGCATTGGTTTTCACCCGCCTCTGCCCGGATGGGCCACCTGAGAATCTAGAAATGAGAGCTGATCTGATTAGGAAGTCTCTCCCGGTTACACTCCATTAGCCAACCAAGCTAGGGGGAGGCAGCTCTTGGCCACATCCTTACCTATGAGTCAAGGGTCTTCCAAGGCTTTAGATAATGAAATCAGGATTGACTGTCCTTCCCGCAGCCGGGGGAGTGGAAACGTGAGCCTAGAGAGTCGGGGAGGATGAGCGTGTGTGTAGGGTGGTGGTGGTTGCAGCCTGGTGGGGGGTGCAAGAAAAGTACGGAGTATATGTGAAGCTTTTGTTCTTACGAGAAGAAGCGGGGGATACAAACTTCAGTGTAGGGAGGAACCCATGTCTGAGAAGGGGCCTGAAAGGAGATAAAGGTCACTACCGAGGAAAGCAGAGCTGCCAGACTTCCTCACCGTGGCTCTAAATCTGAATTGACACAGGAGGGGTGGCCACGTTGCGCGCGTTCTCAGCACTCAGGTGGCTGTACCAGGAAGCCGCTCCAGTCCGCCGGCGGCTACCTTCTTGCCGGCGTAGCTCGATGGTACTGCACTCCGTGCAGGCGGCGGGGCCCGGGAGGGGCCGCCAAGGCAGTCTCTCTAGGCAGTCGTCTCGGTGTCCATTTTACCCGAGCGCCCCCGGCTGAATTGCGTCAGTTTCGCCCCGGTCTGAGCCTGGGGCGGGCCCCTCATCTGCAAGCCTCATGAATAATTGAGTACTGGGCCGCGCCTGTTTGCCGACGGTGGGACGAATTCTGCACGGGCTTCCAACTCCCGGGTTCCACCGGCTCATGCATATTCATGAAGCGCCCTGGGGGCGTGGGCCTGGGCGGAGTTAGGGGCGGGGCCCCGCCGGGGCTCACAGTGGCTTCGTCCCGCGGTGACGGCGGCGGCAGCGGTAGCAGCGGCGGCGGCGGCGGCGGGGACTGGCGTCGGGGCGCCGAGCCGAGCGGAGCCGGATCCCGGGCGAGCGCGTGAGTGCGCGGGGGCGGGCGGGCGAAGGAGGGGGCGGGGTCCGGGATGGGGCGGGGGAGGGGCATGGAAGGAGTGGGCGCTTTCCAGCCGAGACCTCGGGTTGAGGTGGTGGTGGTGAGGGGGTCACCAGGAAAGTTTGCAGGGGCCGGGGGCGCTGGGGACGCTGGAGGCCCGGGGGAAGCTGGCGCGTGTGCGCGGGGGCGGAGGGCGCATGGTCTGGAGCTCGTGCTGGCGGAGCCAGAAGAAAGGGGGGAGGGGGCGAGGGCTTGGGGCGGGGCCGGGGGCGGGCAGAGCCGCTGGAGGGACCCCTGCCTCCCCTTCCCCTGGGCCGCGCTAGCCCCCTCCCCCGGCTCCTTCGGCACGCCCCCAGCCACCCCAGTCCGCCCCCACCTGATCGACGTCTGCAGCCCACCGTCTGTTCGCCGGCTGCTTCACAGCCCGCTCACAGGTCCTCCGCTTCTGCCGCCACCGCCGTCCCCTCCTCCTCCTCCATCCTCTTCTCCTCCTCCTCTTCGGCTGCCGCTGTCCCTTCTGTGTCCAGAGCTCCCCACTGGGCCCCTCCAGACAGCCCATTGCCCGGGGCTGTTCCGTCTTCCCGTTGGCCCTCCCTCTTTCCACCAGTTTGCGTGCTGTCCCTGCCGACCTCTCTAGCCTTCGATCCGGCTGGAGATCCTGTGGTCCATAGGGGCGACCCCGCCTGCGCCGAGTCCCCTCCGGGGCTGGAGCTGCCCAGCCCTTCTGGAGGCCTTATCTGCCAGGGGTCAGTTCGTCTCTACCCCGCTACCCTCTACCTCCTGGTCTTTTGGGGGTGGGGAGTGCTCAGATCCGCTGCGATTTTGCAGCTTCTGGCCACAGCCTTGGTGGCCTTGCTCACCTGGGGCTCCTGGCTGGGGTCTCTGAGTTGCTGTGGCCACCTCCGCACCTGGGAACCTGAGCCCGCCTTCATTGCTGCAGCCCCTCATACCGCAGAGGGGCCCATCAGAACCTCAGGTGAAAGGATTTTTTTGATTCTGAGCCAATTCATTTCCATGTCCAACCACCCACACTATGTCCCTAGTAATAATGTTCAAGGACAAGGAAACAATCTTGTGTTTTAATTTTATTTTTTCTATCATGTGCCCCTCCCCCCACCACACTTGGCCTGGCTCTGCACAGTTATTCACCCACCCACAGTGGGCAGTCTTCCGTGGTGGTTGACTGACCAGTGGGTTGACAGTACTGGGTTTCTCTACTGTCTTCATACCTTTTCCCATCTTTGAAATCCCTGGGGCAGGGTTAGTGTTAGGGGAGAGGAGTTGGATTTTGCAGAGGTTGAGCGCTGGGATTTGGTGCTGTCTTCCCAGACCAGCTGGAGTGGGTGATTTTAAGTGAGGCAATGCCCCTTGCAGGTTGGAGAGGGTTGGGTTGTCCTCAGGGCTCTGCACACCGGGTGAGGGAAACTTCCCCCTTGCATGAGAGGTGCAGGGCCCTATTCCCCAGGGTCTCCATGTTTTTGTGGGTGGGAGAGTGCTTCAGGAGCCAGGATGGGAACTGAGGAGGTGGTGGAGCATCTGAAGAACAGGTGACAGGACTAGGGCCTGGGAGAGTGAAGGAATGGTCTGGGAATGCTGGTAGCCTGGGGTCACGGAAGAGGAGGAGGTGGTTATCAGGATATTAGCTCATTGGTGACACTGAATGGAATCACAGTAATCATAGGCAACATTTATTGAATCCTTATTATGTATTAGTCATTGTGCTAAGCAGTTTTCATGTACTATATCACGTAAGCCCCCTCAGGGTCTCAATAATCCCATTTTTCAGTTGGAGACACTGAGGCTTAGAGAAGTCACACGGCTAGAAAGTGGTAGACCCATCCAGCCTTGAATCTTGGTATATCAGACCCTGAAGCTCCTGTGGCAGGCTTCTACCACAGGGCTGTGCCACTTGGTTTAATTTCTTCTGTTCCCCTCAGAACTCCTTAAAGCCAACCCAAGGCTGGTGAGTGAAGCCCACATAGCCCCTTTTCATAGGCTGTGGCTGTTCCGCCCTGACTCTCTTGGAAGGTGGAGCCCCAGGGAATTTTCCCCCAAGTCACTCCACCCCCCGGATATTCTCAAGCCCTGTCCCGTTCTCCCAGCCCAGGCCTGGGCCGGCTCCTCCTTCCTCTTGGCTAGGCTCTGGAAATCCAGTGGGAGGCCATTGCTATGGCAACAGGACTAGGCCCTGGCTTTACCTCATCAAATTCCAAGCTGAAGCCAAGCGATTGAGAAATTAAAGAAAAAAATATATTCCAGATGTTTACTTTTTATTCCTTATTTTTCCGTGTTTGGATGAGACAGCTCTGAGGGAGGGGAGAGTGAGGCAGGGATGTGGAGGGAGAACAGGGAGAGGGGGGAGAAGGAACCACTCCCAGCTTTGGGAGGGAGGGAGAGAGGGAAGGAGGGTGAGCGGGAAGGGGGAGGCAGGCAATGGGGCGGAGCCCAGGTTGGGGAGGAGCGGGTTTTTCCCGTCTCCCGTGAGGTGATTCACAGAGACTTCATACTTTGCAACTCTCTAGCTCTGCTTTGAGTAGACACCTCCAGCGGGGCCGTCCTACCCAAGGGGCACTCTGGGGACTGTAAGTGGGGTGTCTTGGAGAGTTTGTCAGAGGAGGGAGCAGTGAGTGACTCCCTGGAGCGCTAGGACTTTGGGGTTAGAAGATAAGAATGGGGAGGATCTGGGAAGAGTTGAGGATATGGCTGCTGGGAACCTCCCTTGACCTCCTCCACCCTCCCCACCCCCCCACCCCCTGCCCCAAGTTCTCTCTTCCTGTCCCACACTCTGCCTCTGCTAGAAATAGGAGGCTTCTCTCTGCTAAACCTACTGGCAACGCCCAACTCTTTTTTTCCTTCTCTTCTCTCTCTTTTCTTAGGTCTGCAGCCACCCCGGCTCATACCTCTCTGCCTCCCAACTCTCAAGGAGGGTCTGCCGCATGTAATGAAAGTGTCTACTCTCAGGGAAAGCTCAGCCATGGCTTCCCCACTGCCCCGGGAGATGGAGGAGGAGCTGGTGCCTGCTGGCTCTGAGCCAGGTACCAATGGGTGCAGGGTGGAGCTGGGTGGCTGGGAGGGGGTGGGAAGGGCAGAGGCTGCCCCCTCTTTCTGTCTTGGGGGGTGGTTGAGTGATGATTCTGTTGAGATAGAGAAGGAGTACCAAGGCAGTGCAGGATGAGTGTGAAAGGTTCTCAGCTTCTCTTGAGACTCTTCAGAACTGTTTGGGATCATAACTTTCTAACAGGTGTAAGAGTAGACAGGGACCTTTGAGATGATACAGATCAAGCTGCATGCTTTGCAGAGGGGGAAACTGAGGCCCACAGGGACAAATGGAGTGTACAAGTGGGAGTTTGAACCCAGACCTCCTGGCTCCTTGCATAGACTCTTTTCTTATATTTAGCCAAATGTGTAGGAGGTAAAGGATTCCATCAGGAGGGTAGTGGATGAGCTTACTTCCAAGGTCATTTAGCTTTATATAGAAGGTAGGTTTCTGGTCCTGTTTTTTTTTTTCTCCCTGTAGCAGATTTACTTTTGTTTGACTTAGGTCAATAGTAAGTTTGCATTCCCAGTCACACACCAGATGACAGTGGGGAGGTGGCCTGGGAGTGTGCTATGACTGGGGGAGGAGGCAGCCTGGAGGCAGGATAGAGAAGCTCAGCTGAGATTGAAAGTTTACTATGGTTGGTAGAGAAGAGTGTCACATAAGGTGAACAAACTAGATTGGGAATATGGGGGCTGACTGCTTGATAGGGGCAGGCAGGCGTTTGTCTGTTGTCTCTTTTGTTCATGCATTCTTTTGTTTGATTATAACTTATAATTAAACTTATGTTAGCTGCAAAATACAGTACAGGAAGAAATAAGGTGCCAGGTGGGTCCTTACATAGCTTCAGCTTAAAAGGGGAATTGGCTAAAACATTTTGGGAGTTTGAAGAAGGAAGAAGATGCTTCTGGGATGTGTGTAGAAAATCAAGGAAGGCTTCACGGAAGAGGTGGCATATGACTTGTGTCTAGAAAGATGTGAATATTCTTAAATTGGAGGGTGGGAGATGAGGTGGAACAGGAAACAAAGGAGTTCTGCTTCCTGGTTCTTCTGACAGCTCCCCTGCCAACCCTTTCCTTTTGGTAGGTGACACTCGGGCCAAACCCCCTGTCAAGCCCAAACCCCGGGCCCTGCCTGCCAAGCCAGCCCTGCCTGCCAAACCCAGCCTGCTGGTGCCTGTTGGGCCTCGGCCTCCCCGGGGTCCCCTGGCTGAGTTGCCTTCTGCCAGGAAGATGAACATGCTGGCAGGACCCCAACCCTATGGTGGCAGCAAGCGCCCGCTTCCCTTTGCACCAAGGCCTGTGGTTGAGGCCTCCCCTGGAGGAGAAGCCATCCAAGAGACTGGGAAAGAGGAGGCTGGGAAAGAGGAGCCACCCCCTTTGACACCCCCAGCTCGATGTGCCGCCCCAGGGGGCGTACGGAAGGCCCCTGCCCCTTTCCGCCCAGCCTCAGAGCGCTTCGCAGCCACCACGGTGGAAGAGATCCTGGCCAAGATGGAGCAACCTCGGAAGGAGGTCCCTGCCAGCCCGGACCGCCTGTGGGGTTCCCGCCTCACCTTTAACCATGATGGCAGCTCGCGGTATGGCCCCAGGACCTATGGCACGACCACTGCTCCCAGGGATGAGGATGGCAGCACCCTCTCCAGGGGACGGTCCCAGGAGGAGCCAGTAAAGCCTGCAGCCGAGTGCCAGGAAGAGCACAGCAGGACCCCTGAGGAGAGGTGAAGGGTGGGAGGTTGTATGTTTTGTGGCAGCCTGGAGGTCAGGTGGGGTGGGATTGGGTGGGGGCTGGGGACCAAGTGCATGGCCCCTTATAGGGTTGTGACTTACCCGTAGATTGGTCGTGTGCCGTGAATACAGGCAGATCCCGATCTAAGTCACAAATCATTCCCCAGCAGATGGTGTTATCATTACTGTATGCTTTTAAAGTTGTAGTTTTCATTACAGAATTGATGTAGGTTTATGTTAGAGAGTTCAAGTGTATAGTACAGAAGTTTAATAGACAATAGATTTTTTTTTTTTTTTTTGAGATGGTATTTTGCTCTTGTCACCCAGGCAGGAGTACAGTGGTGCAATCTTAGCTCACTGCAACCTCTGCCTCCCAGGTTCAAGTGATTCTCCTTCCTCAGCCTCCCAAGTAGCTGGGATTACAGGCGTGTGCCACCACACCTAGCTAATAGTTTTTTTGTATGTTTAGGAGAGATGGGGTTTCATCCTGTCGGCCAGGCTGGTCTTGAACTCCTGACCTCAGGTGATCCGCCTGCCTTGGCCTCCCAAAGTGCTGGGATTACAGGCGTGAGCCACCACGCCCGGCCAAGAAGTTTATTTTTAGTTTCCATATACTGAGAGCTGGCCACCAAACTTTGCCTCATTGGCATCCTGTTTGTTCAAGGGAGTATTAGATCCATTGTAGAGATGAGGAAACTGAGGCTCAAAAATGACTTCCATAGTCTCGGCAAGTTAAGAGGCAGAGACGGACATCTTGTTTGATTCCAAAGCCTCTGCTCTTAACTGCTAGCTCTTACAGTGGGCAGAGCAGTGTGCCTGTCCTGGGGTGGGCTGCGTGTGTCAGGAGGAGCAGGGCACAGTCTCTCCCTGTGAGGCGGAATCTGATGGGAGAGATAAGACAAGAACACATCTTGATTCCAGGCCAGCTAGTGTCTGCATAGAGATTTTGGCTGGTTGGAGACATTTGCATATGATAACGCTTCTCCAGAGTTGCCACTAGTGGAAAGCAGGGCTGGCCAGGAGGTGCTTCTTGGGGTTGTGGGCACGGGACATTGGAGGAAGAGGCTGAGGCATCTCAGGAGCCATCAGCTGCACAGGGGCTGTCCTCAGTGCTGGGAGAGCCAGCTTGAGGCATGGCTGGCTCCTTGGGCCTTTGACCCCTCTGCTGGGCTCAGAGGCTCCCTTTCTCCTCCTACTGCTATGAGAAGCAAAGGCTGGTGTGGTCTGGGCTGAGCGGGAAACTGAGAGTCCCTGCCCTGCCCTGCCCTGCCCTGCCCTCTGGCCTTGCCCTTCTCTCACCTTCAAGTGTCTGGAGCCTTGGCCCCAGAGCTAGTCCTTTGCCTGTCCCAGACCAGGGTGCTGTGAGGTCACACTCTTGCCCATGCTGGGTTCCACCCGCCATCTTCCTTGCCTCCCTCACTCCAAGGAGGGCTTAAGAACAACTTCAACCCTGGAAAATCACTCTTTCCTCTTCCCCTCCCCCGCTGCAGTTCTTCAAGAAGTATTGGCAAGGCAGCGGGACCAGCTGCACTCTTCCTGGCTAGAGGAGAACTTTAACTCCTTATGGGTTAAGGGAAAGAGGAGTTATGTTTTTAGGAACCATTGAGAGGTCTGGGCATCCAGGATGCTTTTCCTAAAGGAGCTGGGGAATTTAACCCTTCACGCTCAGGTAGGGAATAAGCACTGTCTCCCGGGGCACTTGCCAAATGGAAAATGGACGGATTCTGTGTCCCTAATGGTTCCAGGCAGGGCTCAAGAGTAAATGGCTAGGAGGGTTTAACCTTTGGGTGCTGTTAAAGTTGCACTGGGAGACTCTCCCACATTCTCATTCTGTGACAGACTCTTAACATTCCGTGCTTCCATTTCCTGTTCTCGTCCCTCACAGGAGCCTTCCTTCCAACCTGGCCTTCAACGGGGACCTGGCTAAGGCAGCCTGCTCGGAGCTACCTGCTGATGTGAGTTATCCTCCGGTTATGAATCAGAATCACGTATTTTAGAGCTGGGAGGGTCATCTGAGATCATCTTTTCTACTGTTCAGATGGGGAAACTGAGGCCCATGGAGAGAGTGACTCACTGGAGGACTGACTGGGATTTTTCGACTCCCAGGCCAGTGCTCTTGATCACCGAAGTGGCTAAGTGTGGTTCTGGCCATAAGGCCATTCATCATAAACAGTAATGATAGTATCCACAGCAACTGCCATTGATTAAGTTCCTACTATGTGCTGGGCTTGTCCCAGGAACGTTAACTGGCTCAATCCTTGTTATAGCTTTGGCTAGTAGACCCGGTTAGTCCCATGTGAGAGATGAGGGCGCCTGTGCTCACAAAGGGTAAGTAACTTAGGCTGAGGCAGGAGCTGCCGTGTCTGCCTCCCATGCTCTCCCTGGCTGGGCTGCCTTTTCTGGAGTCAGAAGAGGGCTGAGTCTTTTTGCTGAGATTTTCTCATTATACTCCCGTTCTTGAAGATGGTCAGCCTGCTTTCTTGAGTAAACAAGGTACAGGATGGCCGTTTTTGCTCATACAGCCCTTGCTAGCTGGAGACCTGACTTGATTATTTATCCATCCAGCAAGCAGTGACTGTTAGGAACTGCCTGTTAGGAACTGGGTGCTGGGGATAGCTGTGGAGGTAGAGAGTGCAGGGCCGAGTGTGGTCGGGGAAGGTGTCACTGTGAAGGGCAGAGGCTGAGCTGTGTGCATGTCTGGGGAGCAGCATTCTTGGTAGAGGGCACAGCAAGTACAAAGGCATTGATGCCTTGCTGGCAAGGAGGCCAGGATGTCTGCCTCGCAGTGAGAGAGGAGTTGGGTGGTAGTGAGGACCGACGGAGGGTGGGGTTGGATTGTGTCAAGTCTTGAAGGCCTCTGGAAAGACTTTGGCTTGAGTGAGGGCAGCAGGCCATTTGAAGGGTTTGCAGGAGAGGCTTGGGATGCTGCTGTCTTAGTTGTAAAGAGTCACCTGGCCCACTGGATTAAGAATCAGTTGCAGGGAGGTAAGATCAGCAGCATGGACCAGTCAGGGGGCTGTTGGAATCGTCCAGGTGAGAGATGATGATGGCTTGGACCCTGGAGGTAGCTTACAGTGAAGATGGGGAGAAGTGGTTGGTTCTGGATAGAATTTGAAGGCATGGTGGAAAGGACTTTCAGAGAGATTGAGAGCACAGAATCAAGGGTGACCCCAAGACTTTTGGCGTGAGCAACTGGAAGGATGAGTTTATGGTTGCCGAGATGGGGACTTCTAAGGGTGAAGCAAGATTGGGGGAGATGGGAGGAGTTTGCTTGTGGATTTGCTGAATTTAAGATGGCTTTCAGACATCCATGTGGAAACGTCAAGTGGATGGTTGGGTAGTTGAGTCTGGCCTTCGTGGGAAGCGAGCAAATTTGAAAGGAACACTTGGGAATTGTCAGAGTAGGGATGCTTGTGACGACTGGTTGAGATTACCGAGAGAGGGGATGGTGCAGGAGGGGAGGGCCCGGAGACACAGCCAGGGAGACTGGGAGGATAGTGAGAGAGTCCACCAAGTAGAGACAGCCTCCAGGACTGGGGGAGGGCGCCATCAGCTGTCAGATGCCGCTGACAGGTCAAGTAAGGTGAGTGCAGAGAATTGGATTGAGCTTCAGGGAGGTCATCCGTGACCTTGACGAGAGTAGTTAGGTGGTTTGGAGTGGGTTCAAGAGAGAAGGGGCCAAGAAGAACTGTGGATATTAATAGTGAATGTAGACAGGGCTTTCAAGAAAATGGGTGGTAGCTAGTGAGTGATGTGGGGTCAAGAGTGGTTTTTTGGTTTGCTTTTTTGGTTTTTCAAGACAGAAGAAATTAGAGCAGTTTGTGTACTGATGGAAATGATCCAGTAGAGAGGGAAAAAAAATCAATGATGCAGGAGAGAGGAAGGATTGGCCTCAGCCCCAAGCGAGGACAGTGCCTGATAGCAGAAGGGGAGGCAGAGTGCTTGGGCTCCCATGCAGGAAGTGGGTGGTGTGCCAGTGGGGGGTTGTCGGGGTGGGAAGGGGTTCTCTGCTGGTGGCCTCTGTGTTCTCAGGGAACAGGAAGCAAGGCCATCAGCTGAGAGGGGATTGGGGGAGGTGCGGAGGTCTGACGGGAGAAGATGCTAAAACATTGCCTGGGAGAGTCATGGCGTGAATGGGAGGGGAGTGCCGTGGGATTCGGGGCAGCTCTGGGGCCGGCTTGAGGTCAGTGGTGAATCTGGAGTGAGACCAGCTGTCACAATTGTGTGTTTTTCTCCAGCCACATGCAGCTACTCAGGTGCTGGGCTAGGATTGGCCCAGCTGTATTGGAGAGCTGTATTTAAACAGGTTAAACAGTGTGATGAAGCAGATGAAGGAGTTGAGCGTTGGGTAAAAAGTGACGTTAATGGTGATAAGAAGAGAGGTAAGGGTATGAGGGGAGTGGGGGACAGTGAGAAAGAATGAGGGTTAAGGGGCTGTGCTACCAGAGGAGCTGAAAATGAGGGTATTGGGGTAATAGAGTGAGCCTTCAGATAAACGGTGGGGGTGGGCGAGCGGGATACTTGGGATTGAGGTGATGCAGAGGGTGCAGCCACTGGTAAGGCTGAGGTCTAGGGTGTGACCTTGAGAGGATGGGTCGCACCGTCACTGGGGCAGAGGAGGCCAACGAACCAGAGGCTGGAAGGGTCGCATCTGGCTATGGAGATCACTGTAAGCTATCACAGCAGTGCTGGAGAGGGTTGCAGTGATCCAGCGGTTATGGTTTTCAAGAAATGATGGGTGTGTAAGAGTTGATAACAAGAAGGAATTGTGGGTGCTGTAGTTTAAGGGCACGAGCTTTGAAATTAGAACGTTGTAGAGGGAAGTAAGCATGGAGGGAACAGAAGGGACCTTGAGAAGCAAGCAGGACCCTTTATTTTGCCCGGTCCTAGTAGGTGATGATGTGGGAGAAATAACTGCATGGGAGAAGGCGGCCAGGGAAGCGTGACCTATGTAGAGGGCAAAGGTCAGATGGAGCCAGACTTGCTTCATTGTCTGGGGACAGGTGGAGTGCCAGGTGCTTGGTGCCTCGTTTGTCCCCCTGTTCTCTGCACGTCCTCCCCACTCTGCCCCCATCATTCCATGAGTCCTATGCCGAGGGGCCAGTGTACACATTTCCCTTCACCCTCACCTAACTGGGAGACGGGCATTGTGGCCACCAGCCCTAATGTACAGATAGGGAAGCTGAGACTCAGAGAGACCAAGTGTCTGCCATACGTGAGGGAGGGCACATACTGGTAAGAGGCAGTGCTGGGACGGCTCAAGCTAGGCACTGTCACGTCCCCCAGTGCCTTTTGCCTGCGTCCCATGGCCTTCCTGCTTCCTTGGCACCTCTGGAGTGGCACGAGGAGCACCCCGTGCGTGCTGTAGCCACTCCTGCGACTGCTCTGTAGCTGCACTGCAGCTCGAGTCCTGCTTTGAGGCGAAACCCTCTCTCCCCTCCCGACTCCCACATGCCGAGATGCCTCAAGAGCCAGATTCTCCATGTTCCTTTTCCCTTTATAAAGCAGGTGTTCTGGACCCCGAACTGTGGCCTCTGAGGAGATCCTCAGATGAGCTTCGGGTTGAGTGGGTCAGGGGTTCCAACCACCTGAAATGGTAGGAATAAGGCTAGGTACATTCTGGGAGAGAAGGTCTAAAGGGGGCTCTGTGAGAAGTCCTGCCTTGAGTCGTCTATGGGGCCTCTCCCGTCTGTCCTGAGAGGAGCCCCTTAGGTTCCAGTTTCCTCCTCCCAGCCTGGGAGAAGCTGACTTGGGGTCTGTGTGGGGTTGGAGGGGACCCTCCCCACCCCACTGAGAGGTGAGTGACGGCTCTTGACCTTTTTCTTGCAGATGTCCAAGCCCTGGATTCCCTCAAGTCCAGCCCCCTCCTCAGAGAATGGAGGCCCTGCCAGCCCAGGCCTCCCCGCAGAAGCCTCAGGCTCAGGCCCTGGCTCTCCCCGTCTTCACTCACCCGATAAGAGTTCTCCCTGCCACTCGCAGCTTCTGGAAGCCCAGAGTCCTGATGCTTCCCAGGCTTCTCCCTGCCCCGCTGTGACTCCATCAGCTCCAAGTGCAGCCCTGCCTGAGGAGGGCTCCCGCCACACCCCCAGCCCCGGGCTCCCTGCTGAGGGGGCTCCAGAGGCCCCCAGACCCAGCAGCCCTCCCGCTGAGGTCTCGGAGCCCCACAGCCTGGATCAGCCCCCTGCCACCTCGCCCCGGCCCCTGATCGAGGTGGGTGAGTTGCTTGATCTCACTCGGACGTTTCCATCTGGCGGGGAGGAGGAGGCCAAGGGTGACGCACACCTCCGCCCCACCAGCCTGGTTCAGCGCCGATTCTCTGAAGGTGTGCTCCAGTCACCCAGCCAGGACCAGGAGAAGCTGGGGGGCTCGCTGGCTGCCCTGCCCCAAGGCCAGGGGAGCCAGTTGGCCCTGGATCGTCCCTTTGGAGCAGAGTCCAACTGGAGTTTATCACAGTCCTTCGAATGGACCTTCCCCACGCGGCCCTCGGGTCTGGGCGTGTGGCGGCTGGACTCCCCGCCTCCCTCCCCCATCACTGAAGCCAGTGAGGCCGCCGAGGCTGCTGAGGCTGGCAACTTGGCCGTTTCCAGCAGGGAAGAAGGAGTGTCTCAGCAGGGGCAAGGGGCCGGGTCAGCTCCAAGTGGGTCAGGAAGGCCTAGTTCCTGGGTGCAAGGGGATGATCCAAGCATGTCCCTCCCGGAGAAGGGCGATGGGGAGAGTCAGCCTCAATTCCCAGCTGTTCCCCTTGAGCCCCTACCTACAACTGAGGGCTCACCTGGGTTACCTTTGCAGCAGGCAGAGGAGAGATACGAGTCGCAGGAGCCCTTGGCTGGACAGGAGTCCCCTCTCCCCCTGGCTACCAGGGAGGCAGCCCTGCCCATCCTGGAGCCGGTCCTGGGGCAGGAGCAGCCAGCACCTCCTGACCAGCCCTGTGTTCTCTTTGCTGATACCCCTGAGCCTGGGCAGGCACTGCCTATCGAGGAGGAGGCCGTGACCCTAGCCCGGGCCGAGACCACCCAACCCAGGACAGAGGCTCAAGACTTGTGTAGGGTGTCCCCCGAGCCTCCGGGCCCTGAAAGCAGCTCCCGTTGGCTGGACGACCTCCTGGCTTCACCACCACCTAGTGGTGGCGGTGCAAGACGGGGAGCTGGATCTGAGCTGAAGGACGCACAGTCCCCAAGTACCTGCTCTGAGGTGAGAATGGGCATAGGGAGAGTGGGACTTCTGGGGACAGAGGCCAGGGCTTGGGTGGGCTTCATTCTTTGAACATGGATTTTATGTGTTGAGAGCTTGGGCTATGGTAGCGAGCAAGGCAGCTGTGGACCTGCAGATCGTAGCTCTGCAGAACCGCACAGGACGGTGTGTGGGGTTTCGTGTGAGGCTGTATCCCAGCTTCAGCATTCGCTAGCTGATTGGTCTTGGGAAGAATGTGCCTTAACTGCTAAGCTTCAGAGTGCTTTCATGATAGTAGCGCCGGCCTTTTAGAGTTATATGGTGGGTAAACAAGAGGGGGAAAGCTCTCAGTACAGTGTGTGGCAGGTGCTGAGTATTCAGTCTCTCATTATGGGAATATTGTTCAAGGCAAAATAGTGTAGCCATTTAGAGCGTGGGCTCCTGGGTTGGTCTCCTGGCTCTGCTTTCCTTTGGCCAGGTGTGACTTTGAAAGAGTGACTTTTCTGCCCTCTGCCTCAGTTTCCACATCTGTAAAATGCGGATAAGATGAGCTCTACCTCCAAGGGTGTTGGCAAGGGTTCAATGAGCTGTAATGTCTAAAGTGCTAAGAATAGTGCCTGGTTCATCCTAAGTGCTTAATACGTGTTGGCTTTTACAAACGTTATTAACACTGAGCTCCAGACCTGCTTTGTAGACAGGCAGCTGGGCCTCAGAGGAGGCGAGCCTTGTGCAGTTACCCAGCAAGTTGGTGGCTGGGCCCGGGCCAGCGCCGTTTCCCGGCCCAGTGCCCTTTCTCCTACCAGGCTGCCTCTGAATTTAAGGGCCGGGGGCCAGGTGGCTTTGGAAATTTATTTCTCAAGCCGGGCCTGGGCTGTAAGGGGCGGGGCTGCAGGAAAGGAGGAGCCAGGGGGCCTCTGGAGGCTAGGGGGTGGGGAGGAGGAGGAGCAGGAAGGGGTTAAGCTGACTCCTGCAGTAGGTGTGTCTGTCCCGGGATGTGGGTGACTCAACTGGCTCCTGGGCGGGGCTGCCCAAGCTGCAGCTGCTCCGAAGGGAGCAGGGCCAGGGTGAGGGAGAGCCAGCGCTGCCGGAGCCGTCGGACAGGTCCCAGCGTGGGGAGCAGCCCAGCCCTATCCCTGCGCCCGGCTGGCCGCACCCAGCAGCCCCGAGGCGGGCGGGGGGCGGAGGGCCATGGCCCAGCCTGGGGACGGGGAGGCCAGCATGTCTGTCCTGGAGCGGCTGCTGGCCAACGCTGCGCTGAGGGATGAGGCTGGCCGGCTCCGAAGCCCTGAGCCCAGGGCTCTCCCGCCCACGAGGGTGAGTCAGGGAGCGTGAGGTGGGGGTTGGGGTGCAAGAAGCCCTGGCTGGGATTTTCCCCTGTGCTAGAAGCTGCCCCTCCTGTCTTTCCTGGGCCGAGGTGAGGGCTGAGAGGTCTTCCTGGGGAGGATTGAGCAGACGGCACTTTGGCTGGGGAAGAAGGGGCTGGGTACTTACAGGAGGATGGGGGTCAGGTGGGGCGTGGGGGAGGACGGGCTGGAAAAGCTCTCATTGGTGTTGGAACCTTGCCTTGCAAGGGAGGTTGCAGAGAGGCTTTGAATCTTGACCTCTCCTAATCAAAAGGAAAGTACATCGCCCGCCATTCCTGTGTGAAGACCACTCCTCTCCTGGCTGTTAGCCGAGTATTGCCCAAGAGTTGTAAACATGACCATGGGACCATCGATTGAGTGCCCACTGCATGCCAGGCATTATGCCGAGTGCTTGGTCTGAATGATTTCGTTTAATCCTCTCACACTGGCCCCACGCAGTAGGAATTATCTTCATTTAAGGATGAGGACGCTGAGGCCCCGAGTGGTTAAGTTATTTGCTCAAGGTCACACAGCTTTCTGTGGCCAAAGTGGGGCTTTCAGGCACTAGGCAGTGCTGACTCTGCTGGATTGACTCCCACCCCGATTGAATCTAATCGTTGTTTCTTTGTCTGTTTTTTTTCTTATTCCCAGGGACTCCTTGGCTGGTCCCAGAAAGATCTGCAGAGTGAATTTGGGATCACAGGAGACCCACAGCCCAGCAGTTTCAGTCCTTCCAACTGGTGTCAAGGTGCTTCTCAGAACTATGGCCTTGGGGGTGCAAGCCCTAGAGGAGACCCAGGTCTCGGAGAGAGGGACTGGACCAGCAAGTATGGGCAAGGAGCTGGGGAAGGGAGCACCAGGGAGTGGGCCAGCAGGTGTGGCATCGGCCAGGAGGAGATGGAGGCCAGCAGCAGCCAAGACCAGAGTGAAGTGTCTGCCCCAGGGGTGCTCACAGCCCAGGACCGGGTAGTTGGAAAGCCAGCCCAGCTTGGCACTCAGCGGAGCCAGGAGGCAGATGTTCAGGACTGGGAGTTCAGAAAGAGGGATTCCCAGGGCACTTACTCCAGCCGGGATGCGGAACTCCAGGACCAGGAATTTGGGAAGAGAGATTCACTGGGTACTTACAGTAGTCGAGATGTAAGCCTTGGGGACTGGGAATTTGGGAAAAGAGATTCTCTGGGTGCTTATGCCAGCCAAGATGCCAACGAGCAGGGCCAAAATTTGGGGAAGAGGGACCACCATGGCAGGTACAGCAGCCAGGATGCCGATGAGCAGGACTGGGAGTTTCAGAAGAGAGATGTGTCACTTGGCACCTATGGCAGCCGGGATGCGGAGCCGCAGGAACAGGAGTTTGGGAAGAGCGCTTGGATAAGGGACTACAGCAGTGGTGGCAGCTCCAGGACCCTTGACGCCCAGGAAAGAGGCTTTGGAACGAGACCCTTGAGCTCTGGGTTCAGCCCCGAGGAAGCCCAGCAACAGGATGAGGAATTTGAGAAGAAGATTCCAAGTGTGGAAGACAGCCTTGGAGAGGGCAGCAGGGATGCTGGCCAGCCAGGACAGAGAGAATCAGGGGGCTTGTTCAGTCCTAGCACTGCCCACGTGCCAGATGGGGCACTCGGGCAGAGAGACCAGAGCAGCTGGCAAAACAGTGATGCTAGCCGGGAGGTGGGAGGGCATCAGGAGAGACAGCAGGCAGGGGCTCAGGGCCCTGGCAGTGCTGACCTGGAAGATGGGGAGATGGGGAAGCGAGGCTGGGTCGGTGAGTTTAGCCTCAGTGTTGGCCCCCGGAGAGAGGCAGCATTTAGTCCAGGGCAGCAGGACTGGAGCCCGGACTTCTGCATCGAGGCCAGTGAGAGGAGCTATCAGTTTGGCATCATTGGCAACGACAGAGTGAGTGGTGCTGGCTTTAGCCCTTCTAGCAAGATGGGAGGTGGTCACTTTGTGCCTCCTGGGAACACCACAGCTGGCTCGGTGGACTGGACTGACCAGCTGGGTCTCAGGAACTTGGAAGTGTCCAGCTGTGTGGGTTCCGGGGGCTCGAGTGAGGCCAGGGAGGATGCCGTGGGACAGATGGGCTGGTCAGGCGGCCTCAGCTTGAGAGACATGAACCTGGCCGGCTGTTTGGAAAGTGGAGGGTCTGAAGAGCCCGGGGGAATTGGAGTTGGGGAGAAGGACTGGACTTCTGATGTTAACGTGAAGAGCAAAGATTTGACTGAGGTCGGGAAAGGAGGAGGCCACAGCCAGGCCAGAGAGAGTGGCGTGGGGCAGACCGACTGGTCAGGTGTGGAGGCCGGAGAGTTCCTTAAATCAAGGGAGCGTGGAGTTGGACAGGCAGACTGGACACCTGACCTCGGGCTGAGAAACATGGCCCCAGGGGCAGTCTGCAGTCCTGGAGAGCACAAAGAGCTCGGGGTGGGCCAGATGGACTGGGGTAACAATCTGGGCCTGAGGGATTTGGAGGTGTCCTGTGACTCAGAGTCTGGAGGTTCTCAGGGGCTACGGGGATGTGGGGTGGGGCAGATGGACTGGACCCGGGACTTGGCACCCCGGAATGTGGAGCTCTTTGGGACTCCGAGTGAAGCCAGGGAGCATGGGGTGGGCGGGGCCAGCCAGTGCCCAGAGCCCAGCCTGAGGCACAATGGCAGCTTGTCCCCCGGCCTGGAGGCCAGAGACCCCTTGGAGGCCAGGGAGCTGGGGGTTGGTGAGACAAGTGGGCCAGAGACCCAGGGTGAAGATGACTCCTCGTCTTCCTTGGAGCCACACCCTGCAGACCCTGGAATGGAGACAGGAGAAGCCCTCAGCTTCGGAGCCAGGTAACGAACGGAGCCCCCTCCCAAGTGTGGGAGGAAACATGTGAGGGTTATCCAAGAAATTGAGACCTTTCTGAGGAGGGAAGAAACAGTTTTTCCTGAGAACTTCTAGTGTTTGGAAGATTGAGACATTTTAGACTAAGAATTTTTAATTCTACTTAAAAAAATTGAAATACGATACACATACAGGTGAGTTCTTTTTTGGAAGGATGACTAATGTGTTACTTTTGCAACCCATGTTTGAGCTTTCTTGGTGATTTAGAATTGTGACTGTGATGGGGAAATGGTGCGTGTCATAGCTTGGATGGTTTCTGGTGGGTTCTACTCTTGTACACAGTAGCCGTTCCGCAGGCCTCTCAGCCCTGAAGCCACAGGTGGTTTCATAGGTGTAGGGCAGAGAATTCTGTGTCTTCTTGGCTGGGGCCACCACAGCCAGGAGTGGAGTGGACAGTGGCACCCACGGGTTCTCAAAGAGGTTAGGGACTTGGTGCTTCTTGCCTGTCATGAAGCCTGGAATAGCAAGTTCAAGAACCTGAAGGGAATGGGGACCTGGCCCCATGACCTTGGCCTCTATGTGCAAAGTTGCTGAAAGAACTTTCCAAAGGCTTTGCAAGCCAACCACAATCTGTTTCATGGATGTTTTAAAACCAGCTGAGATGATTTTGCAGCTGAGAAAGGTGCTAAAAAGGCATTGCATCCGTTTTGTTAACATTTGCATCCATTGAGATTCGCTTTTATTCCCTTTAGTGAGTAGCACATGTTTCCTTTTCCAGCCCACAGTGGGAGCGTCTCACTGGGTATGTGGGGAAGGCAAGGGAAGTGCGGGGGTGGGGGCTTTTATAAGTGGAAGGGGTTGGTGATGGGAGGAGAGGAGCAGGAAGGGGCTAGAGAGCATCATGGTGGTCTTGGGGAGTCAGAGAGGCATGTGGGATGGAGGAGAAGGAGGGAGAGAGGAAGGTGGGCCCAGGGAGATGCCCGGGGGGGTTTGAGGAAGGGGAGCTTCCTGACGACTCAGGCTGTTGAGGGGGTGGTGATGGAGCACAGGGAACCACTGAGGCTGCATTGAGGACTGCAAGGAAGAGGGGAGGGCGCAGGACTAGGAGTCGGGAGGCCCTTGTGGTCCTGGGCAGGTTGCTGGGCTCTGAGCCTCAGTTTCTCAGGGTTTGACTCAGAAAGTGCAGAGTTCCAACTTTAATGTTCCTGGTGCAGGGGAGAGTCCAGGCTTGGCGTGATTATTCCTGATTTCTCTTCCTGGGACTCATAGACCTTTGCACGCCCCATGCTTAACCACACATCTTACCTCATTGATCTTCCCAGCTGCTCTGGGAGGCAGGAAAGGGATTTTTATCCTCTCCGCTGGCAGGTGGAAAGGTGGTGTGACACCTTAAGGGCAAAGAGTCGGGAGTACCTCTTTCTCACTTGCTTATGTTAACTGCTCTCAGGTGTGGCCGCTGTGGGACCCACAGCTCTCTGCCTTTCCCTTCTGTGTGGGGTGGCTCTTGAGAAGTGGAAAGTGATCATCTTGTTCCCTTAGTTTAGGATGGAGGGAGGTGGGGCGGGGATTGTGGTGGAACTAGGTTAGGGGAAGAGGAGGGTAGCGTTGGAGAAGCAGGGAAGCACTCAGCTCTCCGAGCTTTGGTCTCATTGTGCCTTTAAAGCACCCAGGCTTTTGTGGTTGTGTTACCATAATCTGGTCAGTGTTGACTTTAACCCGAGTTCAGGGGTTAGCCGTGGTGCTGTACAGGTGAGCCTCATTGTATGCAACAGAAAGCGCGGCTCCTCAAAAGCCGAATGGAAACAGTTGCTTTAGAGAGGAGTTCCAGGGGCTTGTTTGAATTTTATGCTTTCGGGCAGCCTTTTCTGAAATGTGTCCTAAAGAATGCCAGTCTGTGAATATGTTTGGGAAATGCTGGGTATTCTATGACCATACGGAAGACTCAGTCTGTATATTAGCATATGTTAGTACCTTAAAAACAAGTAATGCACTATTTTCCAAACTAATTTGGCTAATATCCAAGAACCTAGTATTCTGAGCAGGGAAATTCTGATGTAGGGAAATTCTACACTATGGGCACTTTCTCTTTTTTTTTTTTTTTTTTGAGATGGAGTCTCGGTCTGTTGTCGCCCAGGCTCCCAGCCTGAAGTGCAATGGTGCGATCTTGGCTCACTGCAACCTCTGCCATCTGGGTTTCAGTGATTCTCCTGCCTCAGCCTCCTGAGTAGCTGGGATTACAGGCGAACATCACCACGCCTGGCTAAGTTTTGTATTTTTAGCAGAGACAGGGTTTCACCATGTTGGCCAGGCTGGTCTTGAACTCTAGACCTCAGGTGATCCGCCCACCTCGGCCTCCCAAAGTGCTGGGATTACAGGAATGAGCCACCATGCCTGGCCCACTATGGGCACTTTGTCTTTAAAGAAAATTTTGGAGGTTCCCTTTGTAACGAGAAGTCCTTGAGAATAGCTCAGAGGGGTCTGGCTTTAGGTCCATCTGCCAGGCTTGCGTTCTGATTCTGTCACCACCTCTGTGACCTTGGGCAAGTTTGTTCTCTTCTGCAGGCCTCCGATTCCTCGTATGTAAGTTAGGAGTAACTTACACCCAGTACTCACGGGGTTTTGTTAATTAGTCCTCACAAAAACTAGGGAAACTGAGACGCAGAGAGGCAGTGTGACTGGCACCAGTTCCCGCGGCTGGTGGCTGTGGGTTTTTCTTGTCCCCCTGGGCCCAAGCCTTGCAGTCCTCTGTGGCCACCCTCCCTGTCTCTTTGGGGTCAAGGTCACCTGCTGTTTCTCTAGACACATCTTTCCAGCTTCACTCCTCCCTCATTTCAGGTTTCAAAACACTGGGATATTTACATTTTGTAGTTCCAGCACCATGTTTGCCTCTGGAGTGGTGGTGGAGGGTGAGGTGGGATACAGTCTTGGTCCTCAGGGTACTCTGAAGTTTAGATCAGGTGAAGGGTGTAGATGCGACAAGATGAGGCACATCCTCTCTGGCCAGGGACCTGTGTTGATGATAATGACTATCCTAATTGTTGTATTTGTCAAGTGCTAACTATGTGTTAGGCACGTATTTCTGCCAACAAACTAGAACAGTTAATGTACTTTTATTATCCCCATTTTACAGATAGAGAAACTGAGGTTCAGAGTGGGACAAGTAACTTGTGGTCAAAGCCACAGGCATAGGAGGAGACAGAGCCTAGCTGTGTCCTGGAGGGGCAGGACTCAGCCCCTGTGTTCCTAACTATCCCTCTTTCCTGCTCCCATGCTGGGAGGGGCTCAGCTTGTACGTGATCTGGGCGCTTAGGGGTAGAAAAGCTGCTTCTAAGATGAGGTGAAGGGCGAGTAGGGTTTAGTCCGGCTGGGTGGACGTAGCTGTACTTCCTTGGGCTCTCCCCACTTGCCACTCTCCACTCCTCAGGGCTACCTCCAGAGCCCACTGACCTCTGCCTGAATGGCTTGGGCCAGCTCTCGGTTTAGAAGTGGATTTTTTGGGTTGTTTTTGAGACAGAGTTTTGCTCTCATTGCCCAGGCTGGAGTGCAATGGCGCGATCTTGGCTCACTGCAACCTCCACCTCCTGGGATCAAGAGATTCTCCTGCCTCAGCCTCCTAAGTAGCTGGGATTACAGGTGCCTGCCACCACGCTGGCTAATTTTTGTATTTTTAGTAGAAATGGTGTTTTACCATGTTGGCCAGGCTGGTCTGGAACTCCTGACCTTAGGTGATCTGCCTGTCTTGGCCTCTTAAAGTGCTGGGATTACAGGCGTGAGCCACTGTGCCTGGCTGGAATGGATCTTTTTAGCTACCTGGGCATTTTACCTCTCTTTAGCTCCTGGGGCCTGCCCTCAGCCTTCTTTTGCCCCACCCCAGGGAGAGGCTTTGGGCCTGGCCTCTGTAGGCTGGGTGGGGTGCTGTTGCCACCCCCTCCCTCCAAATCCTCCCTGATTTTAAGCTGGCTGTCAGGGTGAGCTGGCTTTGGTCCCCAGCCAGGACTGCTCCCAATTCTGCTGCCTTGCTGTACTTCTGCTGCCGCCACTGCCTCCTCCCCCAGTCTCTCCCCAGACCGCTTTAATTTCCATCTGTCAGCAGCTTGTGGAAGGACAGACTGCCACTCGTGCTGTCTCTCCCTGACCCCTCTTCCTGCTTGGTATTGACTCACCTGCCCCACTCTCCTGCTTTCATCCCAGTGGGAACCTGGGGCCTGGCTTCCAGGCACTGCCGTGCCAGCCTTTCCCATACCTCTGTGCGTGGTATGAGTGTGTGTGGGGGCGGGGGCGCGGGGATGCGCATGTTTGTGTCAGGTGTGGCTCTGTGCCGTGCCTGTAGACGTGGTGGGTGCGAGGTGCATCTTGAGGAGTGACAAACAGCGTACAAGCTATCTGCCTGAGTGTGTGTGATGAGTGTGAATATGTCTGTCATTTTGGGGAGTGGCCGCTGGACAGGGTGGGTAATACGAGTTAGAGAGTGTGTGGTGTGCTTGTGCCGTATTTGTTTCTTGTTTTTAGATGGGGTCTTGCTGTGTTGCCCAGGCTGGTCTTGAACTCCTGGGCTCCCAAGATCCTCCTGCCCTGGCCTCCCAAGTAGCTGGGATTACAGGTGTGAGCCGTGCATCCCGTGCCCAGCTATACTGTGTTTTGAGGAAGCAGCAGACAGAAGATGCATATGCTACATGGAGGTCCAAGGTGACCCAGCCCCTCATTTGCTTGGCAAACATTTGCTTAGTGCGGTGCATAGCCAGGCTCTGGGTCAGGTGCCGGATGCATAAAGGCAGAAAGGGCCCCGTTTTTGCCCTTGAGGAGCTCACAGTCTATGGGGACAAAGAACCATAGGACAGAAGCAAGAACTACATGGGTTGGAGCCCAGGGCTGGTAGGGCTGAGGCAGCCATGGTGGCTGGGAGGGCGCAGGGCAGCTTTGGAAGCAGAATTGAACCAAGGGGACAGTACCACAAGGGACAGTGTGGTGTGGGGAGCTTTCCAGAAGAGGGAGCAGCTCCTTCAAAGCCACCAGCATGTGAGGGCCAGGTGTGTTCTGATGGTCCCCGGTTGCTCTGTGAGCTTGGGGAATGAAGAGGCATGACATGGGGACTGAAGACAACAGGAGTCCAGAGAGGCAGGTGGGCCAGTACCCGGCTCACCCCAAGGAGTGTGACTGCCCGAGCAGATGGCCCTGGGAGGGAACACATTGCCAGCATCCAACAGCAACAGCAGCAGGAATAATGGCTGCTCCTTCTGGGGTGCGTACTGACCAGGACTGCGCCAAGTGCTTTAGATTCTTCTTCCATCCCTGCGGTGACTCCGTGCAGTTAGAGGAGCCTGAGCTGTTTCCAGGGGAGGGGGCTTACCCAAGGTCTCAGGGATTTGAACCCACCAGACTGGCTCAGCTCTTCCCCTGTGTGCTGTGTTGCTCAAGGCCCTGACCACGTCCTTCTTGAAGGAGTCTGGAAAAAGCATGGGAAGGAGGGCAAGGGAGAGTTTGGGAGCTGGGGGAAGGAGCTTGTGAAGGGGGCTTCAGGGCAGGGAGATGGGGCCTCACGGTGATCTTGTTCTCTCTGTGTCCCCTTTACAGCCCTGGCAGGTGCCCAGCCCGCCCCCGGCCCTCCGGCTCCCAGGGCCTGCTGGAGGAGATGCTGGTAGCCAGCAGCTCCAAGGCGGTGGCTCGGAGGGAGTCAGCGGCCTTGGGCCTTGGGGGCCTGTTGGAGGAGGAAGGAGCCGGGGCAGGTGCTGCCCAGGAGGAGGTGCTGGAGCCTGGCAGGGACTCTCCACCCTCCTGGAGGCCCCAGCCTGATGGGGAGGCCAGCCAGCCAGAAGACGTGGATGGCACGTGGGGCTCTTCAGCAGCCAGGCGGAGCGATCAGGGGCCAGCACAGACTTCTCGGCGGCCCTCCCAAGGCCCTCCCGTCAGATCCCCCAGTCAGGACTTCTCCTTCATTGAGGTCAGTGGAGGGTGAGCCCAAGACAGTGGGTAGGTGAGGGCGATGCTGCCGGGGCCCCGTTCCTGGAGCTTCCCTGAGCAGTCCCAGTCCAGGAGGCAGAAAGCGGGTGCAGGTGCGTCACGTGAACGTGAAGCTCCGGCTGCAGGAGGGGTCCAGCTCCTCCTGGTCAGTTGCTGTTGAGGGGCTTCCGTGGGATGAGGCAGCAATGGCAGTGGTGTCGCCGTTGTCCCAAGCAGGACACCGAGATCCTCGATAGTGCCATGTATCGGAGCCGTGCCAACTTGGGGCGCAAGCGTGGGCACCGGGCCCCAGCCATTCGGCCTGGAGGTACCTTGGGCCTGTCGGAGGCAGCAGACTCGGATGCACGCCTGTTCCAGGACTCTACGGGTAGGGCTGATGTATTATTTGGTGATGTCTCTTGATCTCTGGGGCATTAGGCCAAGCTTGTGCAGGGACTGCGGGTGGGGGAAGTCTGGATGTGCTGCCTTTTCTGAGCCCGTTCCCTGGGCCTTTGCAGAGCCACGGGCATCTCGGGTGCCATCTTCAGATGAAGAGGTAGTGGAGGAACCTCAGAGCCGCCGGACGCGGATGTCCTTGGGCACCAAGGGGCTGAAAGTCAACCTTTTTCCTGGCCTGAGCCCTTCAGCCCTGAAGGTACCATCTGATCATAGCAAACATGTCCAGCCATCTGGCCAGGTGGCCACCTTGCATGCTGGCTGTCTTCTTTCCATCCATCAATTAATTCCCCTGTCCCCCTCTCCCATTCCTCCTCTCATTCTCGTCTCCATTGAGGGCTCCAGAAGATCCCTTTGTGCCCCTCTGGGCCCTGTGCTGTGTGCCTAATGGGATGGAAAGAAGAACAAGATGTGTTCTTGTCCTGGAAGCTCAGGGGCAGTGGGAGACATGACGCCCGTGATTAGCCTGGATGAGGGAAGTTCAGGTGTCCCTGAGGAGAGGCACAGATAAGGGCTGGGCCTGTTCAGAGAGAGGAGTTATTTCCTAACAACAGAGTGGAGGGGAAGGGGAAGGGGAGGGTGGATTGGAGAAGGCCTCCTGTAAGTATTTGATCCTAGCCAGAGGCAGGCACAGGAGTTGGCTCCTGGAGCCAGGGTGGTGGGGTGGCATTGCAGGCAGAGGGAACAGGGGTGGGAAGTCACCACTGGCTTTGTCCCACCCAGTTTGTCTGAATTCAATCCTGCCGTATCTTTCCG